TTCCAATGACCTATATGTAACATTCCTGGTGTAGTGTATATCAAAATGAGATTTGCCATTTACTTTGTACTTCTCGGTAGTGCTCTCTAGCTGAAAAGTTTTCCCCTTGCCTTTACTGAATAGCCTTTTGCTCATTTCTCTGCCCACATCCACTTTCTGGACCACTTTTCTGCTTCAACAGGGTCATTTTGTATTTCAATTTTGTGAATTCGCAAAAGGCTTTTATGTGGGATCTATGGTAAAAACTCTCCCTCTGAAAATGGCAGATGCAAAATCACGCCTACTATAATGAAGCAAAATTATCATTCAGTCTGTTAAATCAACCACATCTGTCATCTTTAATCTTAATTATGGTCTGTTTATCCAGTCCTGTCTCCCCTTTCCATTCAGTGAGTGCTGCTGTATTGCAGCTGGCTGTGGCAATGACCATTCTGAGCATGCCAGATGATGGTTGGTCTCCTACTGCATTTTTATGGTCATCTAAAATTTCAAATGTCATTAAAATGATGGCCAAAACGTGGATTTTGTCTGCGGTCAGTCTTTAATCACCCTTTTAGGTGCTTCAAAGTTACTTTAACCTCATTTACGCTGAGACTAATAACAGAAAGTTGAAAAGTACAAAACTTAAGTTCAGACTCTGTAGATTTACTGTGGTTATTGAAACTATGGCCTCATACAGAGCAGCCCAAGAAAGAAAGAGAAAGCAAAGTATGCTGTGTCCTTTTACGTAAGTTAGCTTCAGGTTGATCATGTTTGAAGCAAACCCGATGGCCTGCTGTGGGAAGACAGGGTGCAAAGAACAGCATCACCCAGCTTGGATTCTGGAAGGGAACCAGATGAAGTGATGTTCATAAGCCACAGATGAGCTTAGCATTTCCTGGTACAGTTCAATCCGTCCCTACACTAGCTGCAGGTTTTAGGAAAATGTCTTTGGTGTGTCCTGACAGCAAACTGATGGCTCTGTGCCACAGCTGCATGAGCAGAGGATTTCAGGGAACTGGCAGCACATATCTTGGGCCAATATGTAACTGTTTTCCAGGACAGATTAAAAGTTCTTTGCTCTGTTCTTCATATTTTGATTCATGCAAGTGAGACTCTGGCTGCTCAGAGAAACCTAGGGAAGATTCAGAAAAAGCTCCTAAGGTAAGGAAACCTTTCCAGTACAGTCCCCAAACCAGATGGGGATCAGCTGTTTGAAAGCAACCTTTGTAGACCAGGTAATAAAGGAAAACTGAATAGCCTTATTCATGGCCTCAGCTAACAATTAGGTAGCACAGTCTGTAGAACAGAACTCCTGCAGTATCCTCCCCACACCCACCTTACATTACATTCACAACCCACTTGCTGTCCACAGGGGCTTTGCAGGGTAACTACATAGAGTAACTGCAGCTCCGTGGCACTTATTTGCTGTGGGCAAGTCATGATTGGAAGCTGTTGAGGTCCAAGCGTCAGGCAGTGCAAAAGGGCTTGCTGAGACATGTAGTTAGAATTAACGTCACAGTGATAATGGAAGAATCTGAACAGGAAAGAGGTGTTCCCAGCTGCGACAGAGAAATGAAGGCACACACGTCCATTAGCAACTCGCTATTGTACTTCATCTGCATATTATAGCCATGCGAGGTAGTTATTATACCACTGTGATCTGGATTCCCATGAAACATGAGAGTCACTAGTAACAATATTAATTTTATATGACCAGTCATTTTAAAACATTTTAGGAGTTACTCTTTACAACCTGTGAATGGCACTCTGTAGTCTTCTGTGCTTTTACCAGAGCATCAGTATTACTGTTGCCCCTTTGTCAGCCTGCTCTAATGTGTTCTTTCCTCATTTGGTTCCTGAATTTCAGCAGCAATGGAAGAAATAATCTCATTAGTTGTCTTCTTGATAAAGTTGCTTAATATTGCCGAGGAATGTGACTGTAGTAAGGTCAGGGATGAATGATCACGTCTGAATGATGTAACTGCTATCTGAAATACCTGCACTTGGTGCCTGTTGGTGACAGTACTCTGTTGCTAAACTCACCTTGGTGGGTCAAGGAATGTGCCCTCATATGTTCTCTTCTGCCTAATTGCTGTGGCAGGAGTTATCCTTTTGCAGTTCTCTGACCCCTGTTCTGTAGCTGTTTCTGATCATTTGAGAAGCTACTGCTGTCCAGAAGAATTTCAAGGAAACTTCCACCTGAAGAAGAAGATAGCAATGAGTTCTTTTCTTCCTCCTCTATCCATCTGTAGTAACACATTCAGTAAAAAACTGGTATAGACTCTTCTGGAGCAAAAGGTATTCTATAACCCCACATTTGGCTGAGATTTTAGATATAATTTTTCAGTCCAAAAAAACCCATAATATAAAAGCAGGTCTCCTGCTGACACAAGAGTAACAGAACAGGAATTCATGAATTATGGCGATAATATCTGCCAACACTGCTGTAGGTGCTTTAAAAAAAGATGCATGAGCGTTTAAGCTCCATTTTTTTACTACAGCACTCCTGGTTCTCCAGCAGTTGCAGCAGGGCACAACTTATTGTATGTACAATCCAATCTGATGGTGAACTGTTGTTGAAATAGGTTGTCTCCTGCCCCCAGACACATGTTCCTATTTCTTCTTTGTCAGAGATGAGAGTCTCAGAGTGAGTCACATCTGCTTGTTGATCCAACAGACACCTCTTCCTGAGTGTGTGTGATGACTAGATGCAATGGAAAGCAGCCGCGGACAGAGGCATCGGGGCCAGTCCTAGAAGCAGCTGTCAGACAAGATCAAGGACGTAGCTTCACATCATGCTTCATGTTCTTCATTATCCTGCGGTGTACTTCAGTGGCTGTTGAACATCATAAGCCGTGGTCTTCCATCTGCCAGGAATCCCTTGTAGCATAGCCGTTGTGATGTGGCAGCTCCGGAGGGGTCATGCTGCCATGAACAGCAGCTTCCTCTTTCTTCACACTTCACTAGTGCTGTGGTCCTTGAAACAACCTTTTAAAAGAAGATAAAATATGCTATTCAGTTGTAAGAGAAGAGGGAGCTGTGACCATTGCTGATTTTAAGATTTCTTGTGTGGGGACACAGGAGAGCAACTCCAAACCAAGTGGCAAGTGGTAGGACTTAACTGCCTGTGGTGCTGCTCCTATGGTGAGGGGCCTCCTTTTAGGTTAGAATGGCAGAGAGCAATTTCCTTGCAATTTGGCAAACTGATGCTTTTCTACATAGTGTTATTTGGCTTTAGGATTTTCCTTGAGGTGCAGGGAGGGCAGGTTTAAAGTTAGGGTTTATTTTCCCACTGCTAGCCCTTCCCTTTCAGTGCTGCAAGGATACTATTATGGACCCTGTGCCAAAATGTCTCTGTAGGAAACGTTCATGGTCCTGCATGGTAAGGTGGTTCTTTGGAGCAAAATCCACTGATACAGAATCAAGTATTCATTTCTCTTTTACATTTTTTAGCCTGGTTTGTTTCAGAGAGGTGCAGAAATGCTGTTTTCAGAAGCCAGAGCACCAAGTGTCAAAGGCACAAGTGCTGCTCGCAAAAACTGCTGGCCAGCCCCCCTCCGCTGAGCCCTGAGAAATGCTCTCTTGTTTGTCCCACAGGCGACCAGCCAAAAACTAGCTGCTCAACACACAGCTAGTTCGACTCTCCCCCAGATGAGGTACACAGAAGGCTACTCTAGCCCCAAACCTCTTTTCAGGCCGTGTGGCGAGCTGAAGCCATTCATTCTTTTGTGCATCTGCTTCACGATACAAAAGGAACTTTATTATGGATTTTACTCCATGCTAACAGAAAGTCAGTTGAATTCCCTTAGCCGGTTTTTGTGTATAGTGAACGCATCACTGGCCTGTAAAGGCAATTGATTACTTTAATACAATGTCACCTAATCCATCAAGCAAGGAAAATATAGCTGGGTTTTAAAGACTGACCTAAGAAGTAACTCATATCTTTGATTATTTTAACTGTCTCCAGTTAAATACTTCTAACAACATTTTCCTATTTCAAAATCAATGCCATAGTCCAGTGGCAAAGAAGGGAATGATTGCAACCACTCACCGAGCTCCTTGGGCTTGCTTAGTCACTGCAGTGTCTAGTTGCTATGTCTGACTATAACGACAATGTTGATGATAGGTTTAATTAACGAGATTGCCTTTGAAAAGCCTCTGTGATGTTTTCTGGAGGTTAAAACCAAGGCCACCATCCAAATTCTGCTTTAACCCTGTACTGATTACTTCATCCAGCTCTGCTGCAAGGAGTCTCTCCTTTTTAGCTCGCTGGCAGGTGAGCGTGGGTACATCTGGCTAGTTTTCCTCTCCTCACCTGTCTGCTGGAGGCTCTCCTGTCCCACGGGCTCTCCTGCCTGCCATGCCTTAGCTCCTCCAACTCACAGTCTTGCATCTTAGCTCCAAAGCACCTCCAGCAGCAGCTAAGCTGCCATGTTGGGCTTTCTCCTAGAGTAGCAGAGGTGCTGGCATGTGCTTCTTTGGGTAACTGCTCTACGACTCTGAACAACAGAAAATGCAGCCCCTCGCTTACCTTAGGCTGTGCAGCAGCAAAAGGGATGGCAGTTTTTCTTTCAAAGAGCTTGCAGTTCTACCTAATGGTGGTCACTAAATCCTGGAAACTTCTGAAGCCTTTAATGAATAGCAGTGACAAAGGCAAAAATCTCTATAATAACATGTATGATCACACGCATTTGAAAGAAAAGTTTTTGTTTGCTTTTGTGCTAAAGAAACTTACTGAATTTATGTTAGTAGGGTAACAAAATTACCTCCTGTATTAACAGCAATGCTTACCAAGAGCATCTCCTTTATTTTAATTTTATTTTTGTTAAAAGGAGGAAGCAAGAAGTTCTGAGGGATTAGATAATAGTGAAAGATTCGTTCTTTTCTTCTTCTTTAGATAAATACCTAGGGATTGTGATTTTCTTTAAATTGTATCTGAGGACATTGGATATATTTCTGAACTACTGTATGAAGTTTCACTGCTGTTACAACATGAATCTTTAATTCTCTATTTACAGCCAGTGCTGATTTCCCATACAACGGTCAAGCTATAGGAGATGGAGTTAACAGAAACTCTGCCATTATTGGAGGTAGGAAAAACATCTACTTTTCTAAGATACTTTGCAGTATGACTGTGATGGCCAAATTGCAGTTGGTAACATATTCAAGCTATTTGCTAAGAGCTGACTATGTGGGAAAACTACACCTGAACAAAGTTACATAGAAATTTGTGTAAGTCTGTTCAACCACATTGTCCTAGTGAAATGGTTTGTTCTCGCTTAGTTTGTCCCCTCAATTCAGTTTTAACCAAATCAAAATACTGATATTCATAATCCACATATTAAGCATCCATGTAGGGAGCTACTTTGCAATAGTTACTTATGTTAACAGAGTAATTCATTTATATGAAATGGCAAGGACACTTTTCCAGTTACAGCAGATTCAACATGAATATATGGCAAACATTATTTGCTCCACCCTTGACAAAAATCCCTCGTGATCCTGCCTTGGTTTTTAGGGGCCAAGTTCTGCTCTAACTTATGTGCCAGAGAGTCCCATTCAGTGTCACAGGTGATGTTAAGTAATACCAGAATTGCAATTTTGAATTAGCATTCCACTGAAGATACTCTGGCCAGCTGCCTCCAGAAATAAGGGTCCTGGTTAATTTTATGCACACATGCAATTTTCTCTGTCCTGTCCCGTAGTATGGAAGTGTTGCACCATAACTCTCCTGGGAGAACCTTGCCACTGCATCAAATTCTGAAGGCATATAAAAAAAAATTGTAAAGATCAGCCTAATAGCTTTTAGACAGTTCTAAATGCATATAAAATGACATACTGGTGGTGGTTTTTGTCATGTAAAGCAACACTGAGTGTAGTAGTACATGCAGTCTAATGGAATTTCTTGTTTCTTTTCCCTGGCCCCCTCAAGGGTCTGTGTTTCCATATCCATGTTTAGATTAGTTGCTCTAGTTTTGATTTTCTGTGTTATTTTTCCTTTTTAATTTATATTTTTATTACCACTTGAAACTTTTCCTTAATACTTTGAAACCTTACAATGCTAGAAGGATAGCATTGCATTCCTTAGAAAAATTCAGGCCACACCTGAACAGTCTGGCTGTCTGACCCATCAGTTAACAAAAGTGGCATAACGTAATTCTGGCTGATTACAAGACTTTTTAACCTGAGAATTTTACAATGTCTTCATCCTGGAAGATCCTCATGCCTGTAGAGAAGGGCCAAAAAAGGAACAGTGCTGGTTTAGCACACAGTTACCTATGCCTAAGAGGATAAAATACGTGAGACTTCTCCATAACAGGGCTGAACCCCAAATAGACCATTGCAGGGGGAGCAATTAAGGATAGGTCTGATGATAAAGCAGTTACATCTGTAATTATGTGGAGCCAGTGCCTAGGGGGTGGAGTGAGCCAACAGTGAACCAAGCAAATCTTCAAGGACATATTCAGGGGCTATGATAGATCTATATGGCCATTGGCTGGAAAGTATACATCAGTGATTCCATCCTCCAAGAGCTGTCCAGGCAGTGACACGTGACAATTTCACCTCCCATATTTTGCCTCACAGTCAGCAAAGCTCACCTCTGTAAGTAGGTATTAATGTTGAAGTTTACCTGTGGGATGAAAGTCACTAGCAGACTCCACTCAGTGACATTTTGTATATAGTAAAAACTATATATAAATGTTAGAGTAGTGGAAACCAAGCAACTGTGGTGATGTTTAACTGCCCAGGTAGCTTTGGCTCAGCTTGGAGGAGTTGTGGAATCCTTTCTTTGTGTTGGAATCCGGTGTTCTCCTCACTAGTGGCATCTTTTCTTTCCTCCCCTTTGCAGGTGTCATCGCAGTGGTGATCTTCACCATCCTCTGCACCTTGGTGTTCCTGATCCGCTACATGTTTCGCCACAAGGGAACCTACCACACCAACGAGGCCAAAGGGGCAGAGTCAGCTGAGAGCGCTGACGCCGCCATCATGAACAATGACCCCAACTTCACGGAGACCATTGACGAGAGCAAGAAGGAATGGCTTATCTAAGCCCATGGGGACGGGGCCTGGGGTGGGATATGAGCTGGGCCAGGGTGGGACCGGGATGACTCTTGCAGTGGGGAGAGAACACTCTGCATTGGACGCTTGAGCACACGTACAGTAAAAAGATCAGCACAACTGGAGGAGCAAGTGACAGGAAAATACCACTGAGACTGGAGGAAAAAAAAAGAATATCTCAAGCATTTAAGAAAAAATACTTTTTAATATTTATTTACAGCAAATTGCCCCTTCTATATCCAAACAACTACAACAAAGAGCAGTTTTGCAGCTTCAGCATTGGTTAAAATTTTCAGTAATACCTGTCTATTTCTGTGTGCGTTTAGAGGCGTTCTGGATACCCACGACGAGAAACGGGGCTGTTTTTTTACATTTTTTTAAAAGCTGTTTAAAATGTGGGTAGTTCTGTCCTGAGAAGAAGTGGCAGACCTTTCTTCCCGGTGTTGTGTTCCTTCATGGCTGGCCACTTCCCCACAGGCTGCCCTCAGCCCCGCACCTTGACCATATCACCGTTCATTTTGGTGGCGTTGAACCAGGGGTTCAGGGCTGGGGGTGGGACGGGGGGGTGAGGATTAATGCAAATCATACTCACCGGTTTTTCAACGTGTCATCAGCCCGTGCCAACCCTGGCAGGATCCATCTTCTTGACCCAGGCTCTTTGTTGGTTGCATACAATTCTCATCAGCAGTGTAAAAATACTGTTATTATGACTACTACTACTACCAGAGAGGACGATCAGAAAGCACTGGAAGCCTTGGGGGGTTTTTTATTATTATTATCATTATTACTATTTTGTTGATCTCTGAGGGAGGATGATGCTGTGTGAGTCTGTAGACGTAGTCTGTTCCTGTGTCTTTGGCTATGGCACTGGTGACCTGAAGCAAGTGCCAGTTTAAACTCAGCTCTGCCTGTGGCATATTGGCATATACTGTACTTAGGCATAAGCATTGTAGTAGGGAATTAGAGCCAGACTTTGTTTGCTTCTGTTTCTTTTTTATAGGCTGTCGCAGAAATACTAGTACAGCTCTAGGCTATGCATTTGAACCCATGGGCTTCACATAATAGTTTTTTTCCAACTCTAGCATAGCGATTTATTCTTCAAATCCTTTGTTTCAGTCCCTTTGCAAGGAAAGCCTCTGCTGGCAGTGTTCACACAGACAGGGAGGTGAGGCGAAGGAGGCTTGGAAACTCTGCCAGAGAGCACATGAGAAACACACGGCGCACAGTGGAGAGTTACTTTTCAATACAGAGATTTACCTGAACTATTTTGCTGTCTTTGAAAGGCATTTTTAAGAATAACAAGGCCAATGCCAAGTGCAGCATTGCACCTCATGTCCCCTCTCGGACCAGGGAAGTTGTAGGTGTCGCCTGAGAAGCAGGCAGGCAGCTTGTAGGAAAGGCAAAGGGGCAGCCTGAAGACCTAATATCCTTTCATGGCAATAACACAGCTTTAGCTTGCCCTCTGCAGAGGAGCATGGTTCTCCAGTGGTCTGATTTGATAGGAATGTAAGGCCTTAATGGGCAGTTTTTGCAGTGGAACAGAACGAAGGAATGAATGTATTTCATTCACAGGGCATTTTCTGTGTGCTAAAAGAACAGAAACAATACCAAGAATTTCCCTTTAAAAGTATTTACGCTCATGACAGTCCTAGATTTGCTTAATCTATGTTGCTGGGTTTAGGATGCACAGATTTAATCCATTTTTTTGGTACAAGAAAGATTTCTTTTTCACCCAAATCTGCAATCTACTACACTGAGCCGTGCTGGCACCTTTAATTTCCTGATCTTTTTGGTTGTCTCTTTCATTATTCTAGTCGATGCTTTAAAATGAAAAGAAAAAGTCATGGAGGGGGAAGAAAATATTGGAGTCTTACCAGACAAGAAATTTCTAAGCACAGTTTGTCAGACAGACAAGGCCAGATAGTTTGGGTTTTAAGGACAGTAGCCTGAAGTCCTCTTCTGGATTCACTGAACATAGATATCAGAGCAAACCAAGCCCATTGATTTCTTCTGTTTCTGGATTTGGAATTAGCATACAAAAAAGTTGCCAGTTTCAAAAAAAATTACTGTTTCTCAGGTAACATTATGTGGCAGAGGGGTTCAGGTAGGCATAAAAATCACCTTTGTCACTTGTGCTCTGCAGTCTTTTGCCTTACCTCCAGTATTAACCTCTCCCTCTCTTGTGTTTAATCAAGCAGATGAGTCCTTATTCTTGTTTAATCGTGGGTGTAAGATAAGTCTCCACCCCTTGGAGAGTATCAGCATGGGATGGATTTAGCCTGCACCGCTAACTATTCAGCAATATACACAGCAATCGAAGATATCTTTGTAGGATTGAAAAGGCGTTCTGTGTTCTATATTATTTTATGTTTAATTTGATTTTAATGGTATTTTAGTCCACTCTAAAAAACATTCTTGCCTGCAACTTCCAAGTTACCATGAAAAGTGACTATAGCATCATTTGCATAGACAGGGATTTGGTTTGCAACAAAGTTACTTACTTATCTGAACTTAATGTCTAGGAGGAGGATCAGACTTAAGTATCCTGAGAGACTAGAGTCCTCTGCTGCTTCATGTGGCAGAGACAGACTTAGCGCAGCCACTGTGGAAATTTGCCAAATGCCTCAGCGTGGTGCTAGAGGGGAAAGATGGCTTGGTCTCTAACCAAGTCCTTGGCGAAGCCAGGGACAGTTGTCTGGGTTATGGTAGTGAGGCCTGTGACATCTGTTCACTGATTTTCTAAAAGATTACTAGCTAATCTCCCACAACCCTGCAAGCAAGAATTTCTGGAAAACAATCCTTGACCATTGCACAAGCAATAGTTGTAAATTAGTGTCTTAAATTTGAAAAACAGGTTTTAAGTTTCTGAAGTCAAATTGCAAGCATCTGCATCTCTGCATTGACTGGACACCATGGACCTCTTTATGTGAGGTTCATTAGTGCTGTGTTAAAATGTTGATCATCTTCAGTTATTTTCGGGATAGAGTCACTTTCATAACTGCAGAAACTCTTTTTAATTATTAGAATTCTTGTTTCTTCTTAAACAGGACATGATGCTCTAGACTAGCAGCTGATCTCTGTATAGGCATTTAGTGACTGTAGGTGAATTCCTGCCTGTCTGCTGTATTTCATTTTTGAGAATGGCCTACGTTTAATTACAGGCAGCGGTCATTCAGCAGCCTAGCAGGGAAGCAGGAGCAGGCTCAGAGAAGCAGCTTGTATATTTTGCTAGCACTATATCTATTCTGAGGATTTCTTCCTCTGCGAGCCTATTATTTAAGGTTGAAATGACATCCATAGTTTACTTCACCCACTCTTCTTTGTGCCAAAAATCCATGTTGTTTAACAGGTGCTATCCATACACCTGTAGTGGGAAAATTTGTTGGAGGGGAGAGTGGATCGTGCTTTTATAAAACTGTACTTTCCCCAAAGAGTATTAAAATAATCGGTCTTCTATCGCCTCTTTTTAGCTGCTTCACCTATTTGAACTGTGCAGGAAAATGTAGCTTCTTGTACTGGTTGGGGAACCGAAGTGTCCTGGTTGTGTACTGGTTGGGGAACCGAAGTGTCCCCAACAAAGGCTTGTTCCCAGTTCCACAGGAACTGATGGCAAAACTGCCGCCAGCAGTGGGGAGAGCAAGACTGGGCTGGAGACTAGGGCCTTCAGTGTTAGTAACATAACATAAGCAATATTTCGGATCCTCATTCATGACACATGCAGACCACCAGGTAATGAGTCATGGAGCTCCGAAGAGCCAAAATGGTGGAAAACTAATTTTGATGTCAGCCCAGCCTCGAGGGGAAACCCACAATCCAATCTGGCGGTTTTGAATCAAGTCTTTCACACACTGCTTATTCCATATTTACTGATAGAAAATTCAGATGTATTAAATAGGAATATGTACCTTTAATTGGTACTGGAGCATTTCTGCTTTGTATTTTTCTTGTCTTAAATGTTACCTATACCTTTTATATCTCTTCTAGCAGTTGCCACTGGATGGTCATCATCAATATTTTAGTAAGACTGCCAAAGCAGTGGTGTATATGTACAAGTTTATTGTAGTGATAAGAATTCAGTTTAAGAGTCTAGTAAATAATTACATCTTAATTAAAACAGTGTCCTTTAATGGCAGATGCATCTGATTTCCAGGGTATCTGTTGAAATGTGAAGGTATCTCAGTTTGACAAGCAATAGCTTTTAATATGGTTTCTCCCTTGAACAATTTTACATTCCAGCAAGCATGGTGATCCTGAAAGGGTGCCATTTTTGAAAAGCAGAACCTAAATTCTGTTAATCAGATTTCTTTATCCATCCTAGAGAAACGAAACAGAAACCTTGCCTTAAAAGCAAGAGCCTGTAAACTAGAATGAAAGAAGGACAACATGTACATACTAACTTCTGTGAATGTCTTTCCTTTTAACTAAAGTTCTATTAGAAACCAGATTGGTAAATAAAAAAAAAAAAAAAGGGAAAGAAGGAAGAAATTCAAAATAGTTTTAATTGCCCTAACAGCTGTTTCCTCGTGCTTTGTATATTCTGATCATTGTCTATATTTCTTCCTTCTCTAGTACCAGGAAATCAATTTGGAAAGGACAGAAGTTGGAAAGGCCTCTTAAGACCCACAGTACATGAAAAAAGGGACTTCAGAACGCAGTTATACATAAGAAAAGAGGGTGCTAAAACCAGGGAAGATTTACTGAAGTGCAAGTATGTTCCTCCTGCATCAGGCAGCCCTGATTACCTGTTACGGAGGAGCATCTCAGGCAGTGTAAATCTGTACTTGTTGAGGTGGACTGAGGGTCTGAGCGTAGAGTTTTGGTAGAAATGAAATGACTGCCTTTCTGAGGTTTTTCCCTTCCTGATCACTTTGCAGATAGCAGTAAGCAGTCTGCCATCAATTCTGCTCACGTTTGTTACTGCAGGCTCTGTGGCATTGCCAGCTTCACAAGAGTTACACACTACAAATGGCTGAGTGTGGATTGTTTGCCTG